TAAGATTAAATTTTTTTCGAGTTGATTCCGAGCCATCATGTAACGGCTCGAACCGACTTGAGAATGACCCGTGGTATTTTCTTATTTATAAAAATTATATATATAATGCAAATAAAAATTAAAATAATGAGTTAATTCTAAGCTGAAACAGATTCAAATAACTTAATTTAAGCCAGTTAGTTTTAATTTTGAGTCGGATCAAGTCGATTTGGAGCTGACATAGATTCAAATAATTCAATTTGAGCCGGCTCATTTGGATTTCAAGTCGGATCAAGCTCGATTCAATTTTGAGTTGGCTTAACTTGAAATTAAATATAATAAACTATGGGCCGATTTTGAGCCGCACTAAATGTATTCGAGGAGATCTAGCTCGACTCAAAATCGAATAGTGAACAATCTTAGTTAGAAAGGTAAACTTGACTATTTGTTTAAAATGGCATGATCTTATTTTTGCAAAGCTAGATTCATTATCCATAGTTATTCATAATAAACTCTCATATTCACAATAATATTTTCAAGAACACATTCTAGATATATTTCATAGTTTACATAAGGAAATTTCTATTAATGAAATTCAGTGAGGTTAGAGTATTTAGCCTTTTAAGGTGTAGACAAAACTATCAAAGTGAGCTCTACTTCAGACAAGCATATAGGATGAAGTTATCATCTTTGTAATAAAGTTTTGAAAATCGAAACGAACATTGAAAGAGAAGAAGAGTTTTAAGATTTAACGGTTTAACAAGGGTTAAAGACAGAGTTAGATTGAATGACTTGATAAATATAAAAAAAATATTTTAATATGATTAAAAAATGTAATAATAATGTTTTCATCAATTTTTCTTATAATATTATAATTGATGACACTTCGTATTGAATATTTTAAATATAATTATAAATAAAAAATTTAATACATAACATTTTAATATGTATTTTTTAATTAAATATTTTGCTTTTATTCATTTGATCAAAATAAAAAAAAGTATTGAATATTTTAAATATAATTATAAATCAAAATTTTAATACATAATATTTTAATATGTATTTTTTAATTAAAAATTTTGCTTTTATTCATTTGATCAAAATAAAAAAAAAATTAAAATGAATCAATTTTAGAATCAGATGCATTGCTAAAAAAATTAAACTAGTTCAATAGTTGGTTCTATGTGAAAGATGTACTGTCAAATGACTCGTTCATGATTGAACTGAACATAATGGCTAGTCTAATTTTGATTTTAAAAGCAATGTTTATAATTAACTTGTTGTCAAGAGTAATCCACCCTTTGCTTTTTTAATAAAGCTCTCTCTGCTTGAAAGCTAATTACACCAAGTAGTTTTAAATCATCAATGGTACTCACCTATATATGTGGTCCAAGAGATCAACTAGGCAAGATAGTTAAAAATGCTTAAGATAAATTTTCATCTAAATTTGACCAACTTATATGAATTTGTATCTAATGCAATTATAAAACTAAAATTAGCAAATCTTCATTTTATGATAAGCTATCTTCATGCTTATTAACTTTTCTTAATTATAGTTTTTCTTATGGAGCTCCTAGACCCCTACTTATAAGCTTGATGTCATTGAGAAGTTTGGGCTACATGAACTTATTTTTTCATAGATATATGGTAATAAGAAAATGTATAGCTCCTTAGACTCTATTTTATTTTATCTTATTGTCTTTTTATTTTTTATTTTTTTTGGTCAGGGTTGTAAAGTTTTCCATGGAGAAGTTGGATATAATATTCTCATAGGCGTATCAAGCATTATTGACGGCAAAAAACTAAATATCAAGCATTGCAAATACCAAATAGAGAAAATCAAGATAAGGAAATATCAAACAGAATGAAAAATAAAACTTTGTCACTAACATACAACTCACCCTTGAAGCAAGCTTTTAAGGGACCTTCCTATTGACAAATCCATTAAATATCTTTTTACTTAGTGACTGTAATCCTTCAAAGTGTTGAGTTAGCATATTTGATCTTATCAGGAGGAGGCTAAAATATTTTTTTGATAATTGATGACTCCATAAAAAAGGTGTCAGATGAGATAATTGACATTTATTATATGACAATTTATATTGTACATTATTTGATCTAAATGATATATTTATTAAGCTTAAGACAAAATATCTTGTTTTGAAAGATGATCCTGTTAATATGAATTTACACTAATTTAAAGTTCAAAGTGAGTTGAGTTATTTAAAGGGGAATGCTTTATTAGTGAAAAATTTGTTATCGTGTGAGCTTATCTAGAGATAATTTGGCTGGAGGCTAAAATTGAATATCTTTAGAGTATCATTCATAAGAGCTTTAATTCAAAATTATTACATGCTTGTCCCAGCAGTAAAAAGGTCACACGTTATTCATTATGATATCGTCTTTATGCATAAAGTATTAGATGCATATCATGTGGTATTTTTAATCACATTTCAAGTAATAATGGTAAGAATATAGGTCAAATATCTTAATTTGCATGGATTCCTAGACTTATAGATTTATATGTATTGAGTTCATCACCTCTACATAGCACTCACACATGCTATTTCATATGTGAACCCACACCTTTTGGGTTCCCAAGCCAATGAGTTGATTTTTTGTTTAGGGGTGGATTCAAACTAGGATTGAAGAAGTATAATGGTACTTGGATGAAAAATGCATAAGACATATGTCATAGGATTATACTAAATTTGCTTCATTGGAATTAAAAAATAGTAGATTTGTGCATCCAAGTAATGTTATAAATTGACAAATTATCATAATAGGTATGAATTTTTAAATACTCCAACATCATTGAAGAGGCCATACTTGACGGTGGGAAACATTGGTCTTACTTTAGGATGATATAATATTTTGGATTTGAAAAGTTCCAAATGGTCTACAATAAGTGTGAGAGGCTTGGGTTAGGATACGGTGGGGTGGATCTTGTAGAAAACCTAAGTTATGGGTCAACTTTAAAATAAGTAGTACAAAAAATCAAACCCTTAAACTAAACCCTTTATGTGGAAAATATTAAAGACACCAAGACTTGAAATCATTTAAAATATTAGATGAACACACCTCAAGATTTTTGGAGTCCTATTTATCTTTTTTTAAATATTTTATATGCAAATTAGGTCATGCATGAACCTATTCTAGACATTCCAAAGTAAAATATTATCTTTTAAAAAGGGGTTTATAGCATAGAAACATTAGAAAAACTCCATAAAGTGATATAAGGATGCATCTAAATTAGATTTGGAGTGTATCACAAAATTTAAAGTGTTTTAATGGAAATATCTTATGAAATTGGACTCGGTTTAGTTTAAGGCATGCTTTGGCCAACCAAACCAAATAAGTTTTTGGTTATGATGTTAGTTGAGAAAAATTATAAAACCTTTTGGGAAGACGAGATATATGTCTCACAAAGTTCCGACAAAAATAAATTGAAGAAAACAAATTACAACTAGGGCTGTCAAAACGGCTCGTTGTT